ATATCTTACAATGCCGTGATTCTATGGTCTTTTTACTTTTTAATATTCTGATCATTTATAGTGACTCGTATTGTGACATTTTAATTGTTTTGTGCATTGAAGACAATGAAGGAAGAGAGAGAGCAAATTTTTGACCTGAAAGCACAATTTCTGCAGACTCATGTCCTTTGGAAGTGAGAAAAAACCCACAACTTTTCCACATCTTACTCTCTAGGGTTTTTAAACACTATGAATTTTGCATTTAAATTGGAACTGTTTAAATATGTAAACTGAAAACACACACACACACACAGACACACACACAAAGTTTGGTTAAACCACACATGTAGAAAATGAAGACCAGCCCACCAGTATATCAAACTTTGTATCTTTATAGTATCTGAACTATAGAACTTATTCCCTTTGTTCTAATTCTGTTGTCACCAAGGCAACCTCTTGATGATTTTAATTCGTATAAATTTGGCCACAGGGAGTAAATGTGCTGGCCAGGGAGATGTGAGTTTCTGATATGTTTGACATACATATTTTTTGTGTATTAGTAAGTTGACTGATTTTATTTCCTTTTGTTTTTTGCTGTGTGGTGCATGTGGGATCTTAGTTCCCCAACCAGGCATCGAACCTGTGCCCTCTGCATTGGAAGTGCAGAATCTTAACCACTGGACTGCTAGGGAAGTCCCTGTTTTGTTTTGTTTTTTGATTTTATTTTTAGAAATCAAATTCCTTGCCTCAAAAAGTCAATGTAATAAACAAAGGGAGAACTTTTCTCTATTAATAGAGGCTTCAAAAGGCATAAAACCCAAATGGTGATGTAGGGTCCTTGATCAAAGCCTAGTTAGAAAAAAAAAAATAGCTGTGGGAGACATTTGGGACAATTTGAATAAGGAATAAGAATTCAGTATTAGGGAATTGTGTCTTCAGTGCTATAATGTTGTTATGGCTAGGGAAGAAAATGCCCTAATTCTTTGGCATTGTATGCTGGGAGGTTGTGGGGTGAAGTGACCGGTTATGTATAGCTTCGTTTGAAATAGTTCCACAAAATACATATGTGAAGCGTATATGATGAGGTGTTAATAAGTATCAAATTGAGTTGCTAAGTGTATAGCTCTTCATTGCATTATTCTATTTTTTCTGCCTGTTGGAAAAGGTTCATAACAGAAAAGTTGAAAATTCTGAAGCAAAGTTAAAAGCTAAAGTCAGGTTCTTGGTAGCTTTGTAGATTTTTTTTTTAATGTTGAGTGCCATATGCTTGACTTGGGATCAGTGTTAGGAATAGAACCATAGCGTAAGTTGTAGTTGGCAGCTGTCCTGGACATGGCCCAAGTGTGTGAGTGCTGTGGGCTAAGTCACTTCAGTCATGTCGGATTCTGTGGGACCCTGTGGACTGTAGCCCGCCAGGCTCCTCTGTCCATGGGACTCTCCAGCGAATAATACCAGAGTGGGTTGCCCCATCCAGGGGATCTTCCCCACCCAGGGATCAAACCCGTGTCTCTTATGTCTCCTGCATTGGCTGGCGGGTTCTTGACCACGAGTACCACCTGGGAAGCCCCAAGTGAGTGAGTGATGCCCTAATTACCTCTGCTTGTTATGAAATGAGACATGTGTCTGTGGTAACTTGTCCAGAGGACAGCAGCGTGAAATCTAATGTCCTCACAAGTTACAAAGAAGTTAGATAAAGGACTATTTACACGAACAAGTAGCCCTGCTCTCTCCCACGGTATTTTTCCTCCCCTTCTTTTCTTTGCAGGATTGGTGGATGATGAGGTGTGGCTAAAATGTCATTATAAGGAAAAACATCAAGTCTTTGTTTTCTTTAACCCCATTTCTCTAGATATTAATAGACCCTTACTTGAAAAGATGGATTAAAGGCAGAAATAGCTCCTCTAATGCTTCTGAATGTTCCTTAACTTTCAGCAGTAAAATACTTCCTCACGGGGGCAGATGCCCAGTGACTTCTTGGAAAAATGTTTATTCTCTCCCTCCTTCTTCCACTGTTAGACACTTGCTATACTGAGATTTTATAAAGGTCAACATGAGTACAAATAAGAAATCATTTTAAAGGAGAAAGGGCAGTAAGTAAAAACATGTGGTTTTAACTAACCCAGACAAGGAGTACTCAACCCTTCTCAGGCTTCATGATTTATTCTGCTGTCAGCCTTTCCATCCCCACCCCCAAATCAGTTGATTTTTGACCACAAGTCACTAAGTCTGTATTACTGGGACAAGGCCCAGTGTCACACAGTTTTTTCCTCCATGCTCCTATTTGTCAGCTGGTCTGGAACCACAGCCCACCACGGGTAGGGTTCAGTCCCTACCCATGGAAGGGACTCTTCTTCCATAGTCAAGTTCATTCCTTCTCTTGGTTTGTATGTATTAAAACTCACCTTTGGTTTGGATCTATTTTTGATGATGACCTTATTCTGTTCTTGTGGCCTCTTTTGCTTCATCCAGTTTTGACACGTGCTCTTTTACCATGCCTTTCAAAGTCTGATGGAAAGCCTTAGGTCAGGTCTTCTAGAACTGGAGTGGATTCACATGTGAGTGATTTGTTAACAAAGGGCTCCTAGGAAGGGGAAGCTGAGGGAGTTGGGGAGGGGGGAACAGGGCAGAAGAAGGCAAGAAGCCCAGCAAGGGAGCACCTTCTGGGGAAGTCCCAACCTCTGCCAGCTCCTGCAGGGGAGCTTGGGACAGGAATTTTGTCTCGGGGTTTGTCTGGGCGAGTTAACTGGGCTTTCACGCTCCTGCACCAGCAGGCCATTGGCTCAGTGAGTCTGGAGGGATGTAAACGTCTAAGCATGTTCAACTCTGTGGACCTCAGCTGCTGGCTGAGCCGGGCTCTGGTGGGGGACCGCCCTCCAAAGAGCCGAAGCTGGGAGGTGAGGCACCCATGGTGTGTGCGCGCGCGCGCGCGTAAAAACAGTGTCTGTTAAAGCGGGGCAAGGCCTACAGTTACTCTCCCACCTAATACAGTCCTTGAGTTTTCTTCCTTCTCAAATGAAGCGAGTACGATCCGTTTTCCAAGTTCCCTGAGTGAACCAGGTAGAAGCTGAACTGTCACGGCTCTGAATCCCGGATGGATCCAGTATACGCCTTTCATAGGTGACTCTCTTACTTTTGCCACATTCCCCTGGAGAGCAAATTTGGAACGTTTTAACAGTGTAGTAGAATTAAAAAGGCTGGGGATGATTGATCTCCACTGTTACTTAAATGTTTAAATAATGATATCAAAACTTTGAGACAAGAACTGCAGTTAATTAAAACCCAGGCATAAAATGTTTATCTGCTTAATTAAGGCTGGAGCACCTGTGCCAGTCCTAAAAGATACTTTTTTTTTTTTTAGAGTGATGTTTCTGTTTGTTTTCCTTTGGCCATGCTGTGAGGCTTGTGGGATCTTAGTTCCCCAACCAGGGACTGAACCCTGTGCCTCTTGGAAGATACTTTTTTTTTTTTAAGTGATGTTTCTGTTTGTTTTCCTTTGGCCATGCTGTGAGGCTTGTGGGATCTTAGTTCCCCAACTAGGGACTGAACCCTGTGCCTCTTGGCAATCAAAGTGTAGAGTCCTAACCACTGGCCTGTCAGGGGATTCCCTAAAAGAAACTAAACTTTGGATTGGTTCAGATAACGATCTTTTATTTTTTTTTTTTTCTTTAAAAGTGGTATGCCAACATCACTTCATTTCTACATTTCCAAGTTCTGTACATTTCTCAAAAGGAAAGAAGCAATGCTCAATGTACAAAGTAAAACCAGAAAACTAGAAAAATCTGAATCAAATGGAGGAAGTTGCCATAGATCATACAGTACAAATTAGTAATTCGATATCATCTGAAGTGCAATACCACTGCTGGGATGATGAGTTAAGGAATGAAATAAAAATACTCTATTTTAAACAAACAGTATATATATATTTATATGTATATTTTTTACAGATAGTAGACCCAGTGATATCTGTAGTATTGTAAAAACTTATTTACAAATAACTTTTTTTTTAGGGGGAACAGGGCAGAAGAAGGCAAGAAGCCCAGCAAGGGAGCACCTTCTGGGGAAGTCCCAACCTCTGCCAGCTCCTGCAGGGGAGCTTGGGACAGGAATTTTGTCTCGGGGTTTGTCTGGGCGAGTTAACTGGGCTTTCACGCTCCTGCACCAGCAGGCCATTGGCTCAGTGAGTCTGGAGGGATGTAAACGTCTAAGCATGTTCAACTCTGTGGACCTCAGCTGCTGGCTGAGCTGGGCTCTGGTGGGGGACCGCCCTCCAAAGAGCCGAAGCTGGGAGGTGAGGCACCCATGGTGTGTGCGCGCGCGCGCGCGTAAAAACAGTGTCTGTTAAAGCGGGGCAAGGCCTACAGTTACTCTCCCACCTAATATAGTCCTTGAGTTTTCTTCCTTCTCAAATGAAGCGAGTACGATCCGTTTTCCAAGTTCCCTGAGTGAACCAGGTAGAAGCTGAACTGTCACGGCTCTGAATCCCGGATGGATCCAGTATACTCCTTTCATAGGTGACTCTCTTACTTTTGCCACATTCCCCTGGAGAGCAAATTTGGAACGTTTTAACAGTGTAGTAGAATTAAAAAGGCTGGGGATGATTGATCTCCACTGTTACTTAAATGTTTCAATAATGATATCAAAACTTTGAGACAAGAACTGCAGTTAATTAAAACCCAGGCATAAAATGTTTATCTGCTTAATTAAGGCTGGAGCACCTGTGCCAGTCCTAAAAGATACTTTTTTTTTTTTTAGAGTGATGTTTCTGTTTGTTTTCCTTTGGCCATGCTGTGAGGCTTGTGGGATCTTAGTTCCCCAACCAGGGACTGAACCCTGTGCCTCTTGGAAGATACTTTTTTTTTTTTAAGTGATGTTTCTGTTTGTTTTCCTTTGGCCATGCTGTGAGGCTTGTGGGATCTTAGTTCCCCAACTAGGGACTGAACCCTGTGCCTCTTGGCAATCAAAGTGTAGAGTCCTAACCACTGGCCTGTCAGGGGATTCCCTAAAAGAAACTAAACTTTGGATTGGTTCAGATAACGATCTTTTATTTTTTTTTTTTCTTTAAAAGTGGTATGCCAACATCACTTCATTTCTACATTTCCAAGTTCTGTACATTTCTCAAAAGGAAAGAAGCAATGCTCAATGTACAAAGTAAAACCAGAAAACTAGAAAAATCTGAATCAAATGGAGGAAGTTGCCATAGATCATACAGTACAAATTAGTAATTCGATATCATCTGAAGTGCAATACCACTGCTGGGATGATGAGTTAAGGAATGAAATAAAAATACTCTATTTTAAACAAACAGTATATATATATTTATATGTATATTTTTTACAGATAGTAGACCCAGTGATATCTGTAGTATTGTAAAAACTTATTTACAAATAACTTTTTTTTTAGACATTACATATACATCAGCACCGTGGTAAAAACAAAAAACAAAACGAAGCCACCTTATTAAAATCTACCTCTCTATGTAGTTGGTCCCAGTACTGAGCATTCGGAGGAAGCTTTTAAGGGAGAACAGAGGCCCCCTTGCCCCCCTCCATCAGCCACCTCCAGTTCCTCATCATTGCTTATATATTTATTTCCTGTACCTTTCAGAAAAAGGTAATTATATATTTCTGTGTCTTCTCGTTTCTTCAATTTCTCTTGTTTGTTTTTGGTTTTCATCTGCTTCCATTTGAGAGCTCCCCTGGCAGTGGCCCTCCCCACGCAGGAAGTTCATGGTCAGCCCGCCACCACCTCTTCCCCCAGGGACCGCAGCCCCGACCCGGGTCCTCGCCCACGTGGCCCGCTCTGGTCTCCAGGCTGCCCCTTGCCGAGGAGAGCTGTGACCTTGGTACTTGGCGAGCAGGCCCCGGGCAGTGTTTGCCTGCCTGCTGCCTCTCTACATCCTCTGTCCCAGCGCTTCATTTTTACCCGCTTCAGTCCCAGGACCTGCCCCCAGTGTGACTCCCCAGGCTGGGCAGGGGCTCTGGTGTGGCAAGTGACATGTGAGTGCACAGAAGCAAGCCTGCCTTTTGGACATGGAGGGAAGGGATGGCAGGAGAAAAGCTTATGCCACGCTCACTCACTTAGGACAAGAACTATGTCCCGTGGCCTCCAAAACAGGCCAGTGGGAGGGGAGGGGAGGGCAGATGAGACCAGCCCTCCAGCAGCAGAGGTTGTGGATCCCTTCCAACAGACTTCACTTAGGACAGATCTGAGTGAATTACACAAAGAACAACTGTACAGAACTTCAAGAGGGGATTGCTTTGCTCAAGGAAAGGAACCATACCTTCCCTCTTTTCACTATCAAAATGTGTGAAGTGGAGCAATGGGTTTTTCAGTTCCTCAGCTTTCAGGGCTTGAGATTTGTCTTTCTGATGAGCAGGGATGAAGGGTCAGGCTGCTTTAAGAGCATCACCCCTGGGATTTTCCCAAAGGGAACCAGAGCCAGTGATGTCCAGGCTGGTCCTTCCTAGCGTCCCAGAAACATCAGATGCAGCTCATGGAAACCCACCACCGAGCAGCAGAGCAACCCGCTCGGTTCCAGGCAGAGAAAGAAAAACTCCAGTGTGGCCTTTGCATTTCAGGCATTGTCTAAGTTCTTCTTGCTCTTATTTTCCCTCCGCCCAGGCTCCCTAAAGACAAAAGCTTCATTTCTTCTCGGATAGTCTGCAAGGACCAGCACAGGCAGGCTGGGGCGGAGGTGAAGAGGAACAGGGCAGGGACCAGCTCGGGGGAAGGCGGCCACACTGACAAGACACACAGCGTCCACCCTGGGCCTCCCCATCCTCGGCCTCCGGGAGCAGAAGGACCCGCTGAGACGTATCGGGTCGTACCGGGCCCCCAGGAAGCTCCAGGCCAACTCCCCGGAGTAATAGCCACCACGGTCATCAGCAGAGGGCTGCCCGCCCAGGACTGCCAGGACCCTTCTCCAAGCTCTAAGGTTCCTGCAGGTCATCATGAGCAGGATACAGGCTGTGGGGTCTCCTGTCTTCCTGTGACATCTCACTGTTCTTTGTACCTTCCCTCCAAGCCCAGTAGCGTGTCTTGAAGGCTGATATCTCTCTGCAGCCAGAGTTCAGTGTGTATCTGACCTGTGCTCTTGGCTTGCGCCACCACCCAGGGGCTTCCGTGGGACTCTCGGCCCCAGGCTCTCTCCCCTCTGGGTCTCCAAAGCTGTAGACCCGGGCCAAGGCCAGGAGGCTCTGACAGCCACCTCACGTGGGGCCCCAGTCTGTCTTGGCTGCAGCGACTCTTGCTGGGCTGGGTGATCACAGGGAGTGCCAAGCTGAGGGCTCGGGAATCATCTTCCCTGCCCACCTCTGGTGTGTCCCCCTCTCTCGCAGCAGGGTCCGCAGGGTGTCTGTCTCCATTGCTGTGTGAAAATCAGGTGAAACGGGGCCCGGCGGGGCTGTGGATTGGCGGCCTGGATCTTCCACAGTCAGCTGACTGCAGCTTTGCTCAGATCACGTGGGTCAAAAAAACAACACAAAAAAACAAGGATGCAGTGACATCCTGTTTCTTTTTCACGGTTGGAGCTTTAAACCACTGGAGCTGTGGTGGCCAGGGCCGCTCCTGACTAGGGGTTTCCAAACAATTCATCGAGCTCCTGCATCCACTCGTCCCCCGGCCCACCTTTGATGATGGAGTCCACAAGGTCAGCGCCGTCCGAGAGGCCGGGGAAGGACGCCCCGGCCGTGTCACCGCTGTAATTGTACATGTCCTGAGGGGGGTTCCGCTCATAGGCTTGGCTCTGGCTGCTGGAGGCAAAGCTGGCGCTGGCCATCGGCTGCTGTGCCGGGGGCTGGCTGAAGGCTGGCATGCTAGGAACGCCCTGGTTCAGGCCTGACATGACCATGGGCCTGGCCTGGCCGGCGCCTTGCTGCCCCGGGAGCGGTGGCATCATCTGCCGACCCATGGCAGCCGGGTTGAGCGTTCTCACCCCGCCAGGGTTCGCATCCACCACCTGGCTCAGACCCTGGGGGAAGTGCTGCTTGGTCAGCCGCGGTTGGCCGGCTTGCAGTGGGTAGCTGGCGCCATTGTTGAATGATGCTAACTCTCCACTAGTCCTCCCAGGCATCCCCTGTAAGCCTCTCTGCTGCCAGCTCTGGCTTCCCTGCTGGACCGTTCCCATGATGCTTTGCAGCCTCGGCGGGCCCTGGGGCCTGGGCAAGGCCTGGCCTACCGGCCCCTTCATCGGCTGGCGCTGCTGGGTCATGGGCGAGTTCACCAGCATGCCCTGACCAAACCCACTCACCATCCCAACCCCTTGCCCGGAGGTGGGCTGCCGCGGCCCCTGGGCTTGGCTGTGTGTGGTACTCATACCGCTTTGGCTTGGGTGCTGCAGCACTTGGGTCATGCCTGCGCTCATGTTGTACATTCCTGGTTGGCTGGTAGCTGTGTGGCTGTAAGGGGCCAGTCCCATCTCAGACTGGGCGGCCGCTGTGGCCATTGTCCCTGGGTTCTGGGAGGGTCCCATTCCCATCATGCCTGCGTTCTGTGCCATCAGCCGTGAAGTTCGCATGCTCTGGAGGGCGGCCTGGCTCCTCACAGCTGCTATATCCTGGGGAGACCCTGCAGAGAAAAAAGGACACACCTCTTCACTCATCTCCACAAGCGGTGCACAGTAACACGTAGCTGGACTTTTCTTTGGGAATGACAAAAATGCTTTGATTAATAGATGAAAGGATCTACTCTGATAATAAATCCTGAAAGAGAGATGATTATTTTTCTTACTATAACATACACTGATTTTGAAAATTTTGGAAAATAGGGAAAGCACAGAAATGAAAATGAAAGTCACCCAAATCCCCACCATCCAGAGATGACTACTGCTAACTTACCTTAACATATAAAAATACACATGAAAATTGGGATCACACAGTAGTTGACTTTTCTATTTGATATACCCTGTTATTATTTTTGCTCCTATTACAGAAACAATTGTTTCTTTCCCTCATAGCTCAATCGGTAGAGAACCTGCCTGCAATGTAGGAGACCTGGGTTCCATTCGTGGGTCGGGAAGATCTGGAGAAGGAAACGGCAACCCACTCCAGTATTCTTGCCTGGAGAATCCCAGGGACAGAGGAGCCTGGCAGGCTACAGTCCATCAGGTTGAAAGAGTCGGACATGACTTAGCGACTAAACCACCACTTCTTTATATGATCCTCAACCAATAAGATAGCATCTTTTGGAGGTGAGAGGAAATTCACCTCCCAAGCTAAATTAANGGTTGAAAGAGTCGGACATGACTTAGCGACTAAACCACCACTTCTTTATATGATCCTCAACCAATAAGATAGCATCTTTTGGAGGTGAGAGGAAATTCACCTCCCAAGCTAAATTAAGAAGAATGGTGGCTCACTTTGCACATCCTATTTGTGATGTGGAATATGGCTCAGTAGAGAATACTATCAATAAAGACCATTAGACTAATTTCCCTGAAGATTTGAGCAGGATTTGAGAGGTTAAAGGCCCCTGCTTCGGCTAAGAAGCTATTTTGACAGATGGGACGTTGTTTGGATCCCCTCTGTAGATTTCCACATGCTCCAGATTCTCTGAATTACAACATGTCAGTGCGAACTGGCCAGCTTCCTGAATTAGAGAAAGAAGTCATCCTCCTACTTGTTACCTGGCAATGAACTTGATGCACTGATGCAAAGGCCACACCTTCAAATCAGCAATGATCACTAAGGCAGTTTCAATGATCCCGCTTAGAAGTTGACCAGAGTACCAACGCCCAGTCATTCAACTCTATTTGACGTTTGAGTGAGCCCTTCTTTACACATTTCCAGGAAATTTCTAAACCAGCCAAGAGAATAAAAATGTCACCTCTAGAAGTCCAGTCAATGTTCAAGGGCTAGGAAGTGTACAAAAATAGATTTTTCTGTCTCTCTGCTAAGGATGAAGTCTATGAAAAACAGAAAAATAGTTTTTTTCCTGGACATTTAAAAAAGGTGCAGCATATAAAAGGGAGCCAATCAATATTATAAGCAAATTTGATCATTCCTGGGAGTGGGATGAGAAATCAGATGAGAATAGTGTGTAACCTTGTTAATCCTGGCACCTTGGCAGATAAGAGAAGTGTGTTTCTTGTCTTTCTGATGGGGTTATTGATTTCTGGGCAGCAACCATGTCTCCATATATGGGAAATTTGGTTATGACTTAAGTTTTTGTGCCTTGAGGTCAGTATCAGGCTGCATTGAAAAATGAAATGGTTACTGTGAAGAAACCAGAAAGATCTGCGGGAGATCCCTAGAAGCATTTCAATCTTTTGTTTTGAGCTTAATGATAGCTAAAGTGGATTTAGATATAATAAAGATATTAAGAAGTTCCTAATTAAACACTGGATGGTAGTATATATTGCAGCTTGTGATCTTGTTATGAAGTCTTGTGACCTTAATGACTAAATTTGTATCAACTGCACAGCCAGTCTGATCAACTGGGGTGAAATGGGTGATTGGGTTGCTTATAAAAAAATTTAAGGGAAAAATATTGCTGACTCAGACTGATTGAACAGACCCAAATTACATAAACAGGCTGCTGGAAACAGATGAAAGGACTTTCGTATTCTGGATATTTTTGTTGTATCTTTAGAATTAATATGTTGAAGGATTAGGTTTTGTCTTGAATAATTTTGTGAATAAGATTACTGCATGTGTTAAACAACATACTTTCTTCAAATTTTTGTCTAAAATAGGTGTTACTGTGAGACATTATAGTCAAATTAATTTTCCTGTCTATTGGTTAACATCACAATGTCAAAGAAAAATTTCCATATTCAAAAAGAGACAGTAACATGCAATTTTTTTCCCTAAAAGGATCTATGTTCTATTTTCACTCACAGGAAGTTTATAGTTATAAAAAATAAGCACTTCCCTTGTAGGCATGTAACACTGCCCAGAGGCACAGAACTCAATAAGTGAAAGATCATCTTTAAAACCTTTGAAAAAAAAAAAAAAAAAACCTTAGAAAAGTATAGTGGTGGGTAGACCTGTAGGTCTTAGACAAGTTAATTTGAACAGAACCTCTGTCCAATGACAAAATTTCTTATCTATCAATTTGCTCTTTTCTCAGGTACATAACATTATGCTATCTAGGATGTTGGTCAAATACGTGAAAATACTGAAAATAATAAAAAAAAAATCGTATCAATCAGCTCAGGAACCCTCAAATATAACTAGTTGTTCAGCTTAAGTGTAGGGAAGTTTTAGGTGGACTGCCTGTAATTTGGGGCTTTAGAAAAGTTCAGAGTAGAACTTTTAAATTGGAGCCAAGCCATCTAGAATAACTCATGGAGGAGTTATTAAATTTTGGTGGGTCTTTTTATTCTAAAAAATAATGAGTTATGAATCTAGAAAACTCAAAGGACATGGTGCCAGGTTTGTCAGATTTAATGGTTTCAATTAGTTCATAATATAAAGCACCAGTTCCCAAAGTGTGGCCCCTGGGCCAGAAGCAGCAGCAGCAGCATCTCTGGGGAACTTGTTACAGATGCAAATACAGATGCAAATACAGATCCGGCTCCAGATCTCCTGAATTAGAGACTCTGGGAGTGAGAGGGGGCCACTTATGTTTTGAACCAGTTCAGCTGGTGACCGGACGCAGGCTCAAGTCTGAGAACTACAGGTATAAAAGGAGAGCTCGGTGTCTGCAACAAAAACCATGCCTGGAACAGTAACTCTTCCGCACCCATGGCCAAGTGAGAAATAGAATTCTTCAAAGAATACTGGCACTAATTTACTACACAGAACTTTCACGGACAGCCCAATTCCCTTTGTCCTTCCCTGTGTGGGGCCCAGAAGGATCTGAAGTGATATAACTGTCCCACAGATTTAAGGGTGGTAGCCGCTCAAGCCCCAGGGGGTCCACAGGCTATCCTCAGGAAGATCTAGCTGTGAACACCAGCAGCTTTCAGACTCTGAACCACAACTCACAGTACTCACACACGTGGGCTCAGGACAGAAACAAAAGCTGCCCTCATTATGATACACTCCAATCATTTTTTTCCTATTATTTCACTTTAAAAATGCTGGTTGTGGCCCACCAAATTATCTTCAATTGGCTTTCCTGTTGGCTCAGACAGTAAAGAATCTGCCTGCAATGCAGGAGACCTGGGTTTGATCCCTGGGTTGGTAAGATCCCCTGGAGGAGCTCATGACAACCAACTCCAGTATTCTTGCCTGGAGAATCCCCATGGCAGAGGAGCCTGGGTGGGCTACAGTCCACGGGCTCACAAAGAGTTGGACACAAACTATTTGGGTGTTGCAACCCGAAGAATGAAAAATGCTACCCCAGATCACAAATTTTTCACCCACAGTCTATGGAAAAGGGTAGCTCTTGAAAAATGATCCATAAAGTTTGTATTTATTTACTATATATGCATGCTTCTGTGCAAGGGACTTCCTGGCTTCTGGCAGATTGTCAAAGTGAGAGGTAACATTTGAGAAGTGAGGATGCATTGATCTAGGTCCTCCAAGAGGATAGAGGACAGGAATTAGGATTTCTGCTGCTTCATGACTCCTGTGGCCCCCTGAAAACTCCTGTGGACGAGAGTGGGGAGGGTCCTCAGACTCATCCTCCACCATCATATAAGACGCAGAGGGGTTCCCTCTGTTGGAGATGGAAAGGATTGATATTTGAGGCGACCAATCTGGTGCTGGAGAACATGCTTAAGAGTCCCTTGGACTGCAAGGAGATCAAATTAGTCCATCCTAAAGGAAATCAACCCTGGATATTCACTGGAAGGACTGATACTGAAGCTGAGGCTCCAATACTTTGGCCACCTGTTTCAAAGAGCTGACAACTCATTAGAAAAGATCCTGATGCTGGGAAAGATTGGAGGCAGGAGGAGAAGGAGCTAACAGAGGACGAGAAGATTACATAGCATCACTGACTCTATGGATACGAGTTTGATCAAACCCCCATAGATGGTGAAGGACTGGGAAGCCTGGCGTGCTGCAGTTCATGGGGTCGCAGAGAGTCAGACAGGACTTAGCGACTGAACAACAGCAATCTACAGAGGAAAGGCAACCCCAGACAGTGCCGCCATTCCTCCTGGGGCCATGCTTCAGGATTTGTGCAAAGGGCAGCAGGATCAAGACCGTCCAATCAAGCTCAAGTCCCTGTTTGTCTTCTATGTTCAGAGATTAGTGGTTGCTCAAGGCTAGATTCCTCCACTGCAGTTGCTGGAAGTTAGGACTTTGGTCAGCAGACCTGCTAGGATTAGTAATAAAAACGTGACACAAGATTTTCCCCACTGTGGTCAGTGAGATGTGATCTAGATACCAACAAGGCTGATACTGGGTCAACAGGCGCCTGGATGTCTTTGGAAAGTCAAAGTGTTTGTTTTTCAGTTGTGTCCAACACTGTGCGACCCCAATGGTCTGTAGCCCACCAGGCTCCTCTGTCCATGGGATTCTCCAGGAAAGAATACTGGACTGGGCTGCCATTTCATACACCAGGGGATCTTCCCAATCCAGGAACTGAACCTGGATCTCTTGTACTACAGGCAGATTCTTTACCATATGAGCCACCAGGGAAGCCCTGGTTGTTAAAATATGGAAATATTTCTGTACTTTTAGTAAAGAATAGCTGCTCCGGCCCCACCCCCAAAGTCACCATGACCCCATCCTGGGCCCACCAGGATGTCTCTGGGGCCCAGTGGCTGAAAGGTTAATGCCTGATATTCTGACTGGTTGGTACATCAGGTCTTAACTATTTTCACTATTACTTGGACACCAAACACAGCTCCCACGGCACTGTTACCGGGTGACATTCACTTTAACTTCCCCGCTGGAGGGAATACAACGGCAGAGGCGTGCGCCGGCCTCACCTTGAAACTGGGCGACCTGCTGCACTGGGTAGGGATTCCGCTGCTGCTGCTGCAGATGCTGGCGGGGCAAGTGCGGCTGCTGCAGCTGCTGAAACGACAGAGGGCAAGGAGGGCCAGGAGGTGAGACGGGAGAGACCGTGCACATAAATACCCCAGCCGTCCCGAGGAAGGCGGCTTTCACAAACTAAACGTTGTATTGAAGAATAGCACACATATAGGTAAGCACCCAGGCATGCAGCACCCTTACACAGTGTGAGGGATATTCCCAAATGGACACACTTTTGGGAACCAGCCTCTGGATCAAGACACAAATGTTGCCAGGAGCCCCTCCTGTCCCTTCCCCGTCACTACCCTTCCCCTGACCCCTGGGGAGTACCCCCAACCCAACTCTATATTAGTTACGTCAGCTTCTGTACTTCATAGAAGTGGGTTTAGACATGGTAGTTAAGTTTGGCTTTTGTGTCTGTCTTTTTGCATTTGTGGCATTTTCGAGCTTCATCCAGGTTGATGTCTGCAGTGTGGATGGTTCGTCCTCACTGTTGAGTAGTATTCCCCCCCAAAGAACATACCTCCGTGGCTTTATCTATGCTGCAAGGGATGGCTATTTAGGGTGTTTCCGATATTTGGCTGTCAGAGCCACCTCTTCCACCAACATCCTTGGTGAACCTCTGTGGTATGTCTGCCATGTGGTCTTGCTGGCTTAAAAGGGATGTGTAGTCACCGAGACAGTTTTGTAAAAAAATAATTTACTTATTTTTGGTGGTGCTTGGTTGCTGTTGCTGCATTGGCTTTTCTCTAGTTTCGGTGAGCGGGCTCCTCGTGGCAGCGGTTTCTCTCGTTGCAGAGCATGGGCGCTCGGGCAAGAGGGCTTCAGCAGCTGCAGCGCATGGCACATGAGTTGCGGTTCCTGGGCTCTAGGGCACAGGTTCAATGGTCGTAACGCACGGGCTTAGTTGCTCCATGGCATGTGGGTCTTCCCAGACCAGGGATCAAACCCATGGCTCCTGCATTGGCAGGCAGAGTCTTTACCTCTGAGCCACCAGGAAGCCCAGGGAGGCAGTTCTGACTTTGCTTTCCCAGTATCAGCTGCATGCCTTTCTCAGTATCGAGACCGAACTCAGACAGACAAGCACCTAATTTTTAATGACCTAAAATAGATGCTTCGGGTATAAGAAGATGGAATTCTCAGGGACTATTTAAAAAAAGCCTCATTTTAGTCCCAGGGTGTCACACTGCCTGCAAAATACGTCTCCGCAAGTCAAAAATACAGCATCTATTGCCTTGAGAAAACCGTGTGGGATTCCACATACACCAGGAACCATGAGGCCTGCGTTTTAGTTTTTCTTCTTCCAGTCTCTGGGCTTCTGCACTGCCAGTGCTGTTACCAATATACTGGGGAGGATACTATGTATCATTATCATGCTGAATGTGAAAAGGGAGAGAAAAGAAGAATGAGGTGGAAAGAGCAAAGAAAGAGATTTTCATTCTGGGTCTAATGTCAAGTAGCTGGGTGACCTTCGGGGTGTCATTTGACTTCCTCGGCAGCTGTGGAATATTCATTAAGCACCTTTCATCTGCAAGGGCTAGAAAAACAAATAACCAGGGTTCTGCTCTTCAGAGTGTTCATTATAAAAATAACACACATTGACCACTTCTTAACACATGTGTTTATTTCTATTTTTTTTCTCTTGTTTTTGTTCCTGGGCAGCTCTATAATTTTCTTTTTCTTTCTTTCTTTTTTTGTTTTCTTTTCTCTCTTTTTGTTGACAAGGCCAGCCAGCACTCTGGCAACTGAAGAAAAGAACGGCCTCTGTTCACCCTATCCTGTAGGGCCTACAGTGGTGTTTTGCTCTTGAAATGAATTAATTGTGTAGACACAGCATAGACAAGAAACCATGCTAATCTTTTAGGCAGCAATCTAAGAACATTATTGAAAGTAAGCTGAGCATTTAAAAGCTTCTCTGAAGCCAAACTTCCCATATTATCTAAGAATTTTAGTGTCCTACCAACAAATGGGTATAAACCCTGAAGGAGTCTGGGGTAGTGGGCTTGCGTCAGGAATCAGGGGGTCCAAGGTGCCAGTCTAGCCTCTGGCTCTCGCTAGCTCTGTGATCTCTAAAAAAAGATCATGTCAACTCCCCTTCCTCAGTTTTCCTCATGTGTAAAATAAAGAGACTTCATGATTAACATTTCTTTCAGATCTAAAATTCCAGGATCCACTGAACCTTAGTGAACGGATGGCAGCTGACACGCTCTGTGCGCTGAGAAAAATGCATTAAACGTGAATTCACACCTGGTTTCTACTTGCTCTGTTCTGATTTCTAAGTCCACTGAGAACCATCTGAATGTTCCCAAAGATATGCCAGATCCCCAATCTTTCTGTTTTCCCTCCCATGTCCTTTTGGGGAAACCCATGTGTTCCCAGTACACTGCTGGCAAAATTGAAAACGTTAAGATACTTTCTCTGCTGCTGCAGGGACCAAGAAAATCAGCTTGGCGTTGATATGGCCACATTCATCCTCAAGAGTGTGGACCCCCAGGGAGCTGCATCGATAAGCACTGCCCCAGGGGCAGGTGGCATGCTCCATCCCTCTGCCCCAGCTCTGGCCGGTCCCACCGGACGGCTGGCGCCTGTGGCTGCAGCTCCGACATCACACTCCGTGACACCAGGGTCATGCGACAGAGCCCCACCTTGGGCTGTTTCCTAAGGATTTCACACACGTGCCTCAGGAGAACATCGGGAAGAAGGCTGGGAAATAGGAAAATCTATTCGGCAGATGAGAGAGGTGAAGCGGTTTCTTTTTCCAGAATCATACCACAAGCAAAAGACGTGGCCCAGAGTAAACTGTTCTTTTCCTGGCCCCTCTTCAGCTCTTGGTACACACAGCTCTCTTTGTTTTTTTCCTTGCCGTTTCCCATTCCCAGCTTTTCTGAGGAGCCCTGTGTCTGTCTTCCGCGTCCTGGGTTCTGAAGGGTCCCGCACTGTCTGGCCCCATGGTCTGTGGGCACCATCCTTGGTGGTTCTCCTTCCTTCCACCTCCTTCCTCATCCCTGGGCTTGGCTGGTCTCACTGAGCAGGGACACCCCTGGACTGGCACAGCCAAATCTGGCCTGGTTACCCCGACTCCCCTTTGAGTCAGGAATCAGGGGGTCCAAGGTGCCAGTCTAGCCTCTGGCTCTCGCTAGCTCTGTGATCTCTAAAAAAAGATCATGTCAACTCCCCTTCCTCAGTTTTCCTCATGTGTAAAATAAAGAGACTTCATGATTAACATTTCTTTCAGATCTAAAATTCCAGGATCCACTGAACCTTAGTGAACGGATGGCAGCTGACACGCTCTGTGCGCTGAGAAAAATGCATTAAACGTGAATTCACACCTGGTTTCTACTTGCTCTGTTCTGATTTCTAAGTCCACTGAGAACCATCTGAATGTTCCCAAAGATATGCCAGATCCCCAATCTTTCTGTTTTCCCTCCCATGTCCTTTTGGGGAAACCCATGTGTTCCCAGTACACTGCTGGCAAAATTGAAAACGTTAAGATACTTTCTCTGCTGCTGCAGGGACCAAGAAAATCAGCTTGGCGTTGATATGGCCACATTCATCCTCAAGAGTGTGGACCCCCAGGGAGCTGCATCGATAAGCACTGCCCCAGGGGCAGGTGGCATGCTCCATCCCTCTGCCCCAGCTCTGGCCGGTCCCACCGGACGGCTGGCGCCTGTGGCTGCAGCTCCGACATCACACTCCGTGACACCAGGGTCATGCGACAGAGCCCCACCTTGGGCTGTTTCCTAAGGATTTCACACACGTGCCTCAGGAGAACATCGGGAAGAAGGCTGGGAAATAGGAAAATCTATTCGGCAGATGAGAGAGGTGAAGCGGTTTCTTTTTCCAGAATCATACCACAAGCAAAAGATGTGGCCCAGAGTAAACTGTTCTTTTCCTGGCCCCTCTTCAGCTCTTGGTACACACAGCTCTCTCCTTTTTTTTCCTTGCCGTTTCCCATTCCCAGCTTTTCTGAGGAGCCCTGTGTCTGTCTTCTGCGTCCTGGGTCCTGAAGGGTCCCGCACTGTCTGGCCCCGTGATCTGTGGGCACCATCCTTGGTGGTTCTCCTTCCTTCCACCTCCTTCCTCATCCCTGGGCTTGGCTGGTCTCACTGAGCAGGGACACCCCTGGACTGGCACAGCCAAATCTGGCCTGGTTACCCCGACTCCCCTTTGTGCCATGGTCATAGCACACCCATCCAAGACAATCACTTAAAGGACCAGGCACATCGGACTCTTCCTAGGCTTGGCTAGGGGAGGATTTGCAAAGCCCAGCTTCCCCGCATTCCCCTCGGGAGCCCCATTTATCACTGTCCGAGAGACATGAGTGCGGTTTCTTGTCACACACCTTACGCAGGGTGAGAGGGACAGAGGTTTGTTTGTACAAGAGCTGCCAGGCGGCTGACTGACCTTGGTAAAAAGGGAGATAATTACACAGCTGTTCAAGAACAAAAGCGAAAAAGGGAAGCTAAGTGAACTGTGCAATTTTTCTGTTTGCGGGGGGATGACTGGTGTTACTTTGAACGCTGCTCTTGGTCACTAAGGACCTCAAGTGCCTCTGGTCCTACACAGCATCTTGCATAGAAAGGGTGGGGTGGAGGATCCTTGATAAATGTCCAAAATTCGGATCCTATTAGGAACATTCTAGAAGGGTAACTGCGGACCTTGAGCCTTAGACGGCTCCTATAACAGAAGGGCAAGATGCATGGGTCAGACCCCCCACTGGAGCCATCTAGGGACGGCCTAGATGGAAGACCTCAGGCCTCTCTCAGGATAACATGAAATAAGGCAAGGGCCTCTTAAAAAACAAGACACTGACACTCAGAGGAGCAGCCCACAGCAAGGCTTCCTTTCAAAGCCGGAGGAATTATGTGTCAACGGTGGTCAAACACGCCTCAGGTAAAGCTTTCTCTGTGTTAGGCCTTTAACTCAAAGATTTCCTGAGCTGTTTTCAAAGCTGCTGGGAATTTTTCTCAAGTTTGCACCCTTTCTGTGACCCGGAGTTCAGGTTTCCAAGTAGTTCTGTGGGCCCTATTATTCTGCAATTGTTCCCGTTCCATTGTTCATGACCAACGCTGTGAGAATTCTTCTCAATCCCCCCTTCCGACTCTTTCCTCCAAGAAACAAAGTTCTCTGAATTATTTTCTTTTTTCTTCCCGCTGGGAATATCAGAATTTATGAAGAATGTAAGCCAGCTCCCTTCCACCCCCGCCACCCCCATGCTGATTCCACAGACCCCCGGTACCAGATGCCAGAAGCAAAAAGCCAGACTTGAAGACAGGTCTCTGGCAAGCGGGTCTTCAAATGCATGGCTGAAGCCTGTCTTTTCAGAACAAACCAATTCATTTTAAGAAAAAGCCGAACTAATGGAAAGGTCTAAATTCTGCAGGCTCTTGTGTAGTCTCCGGAAGTGCTGGCCAGCGACTTTCTGGATGAAGGACGAGACCTGAGACTCGCTCACAGACACCAGGCCCTGCAGAAATGTTTGCGAATCGCATGAAGCCCACCATGGGCATGAGTTACCTGCTCCGTAAGAATCTGCTGTTGCTGCTGCTGCTGCTGCCTCTGTTCCCGCAGGAACTGTTGTTTCTGCTGCTCCATCAGCTGGGCCCGCTGGTCAATGAGCATCTGCTTCATGAGGACTGTCTGGGGCTGGCTGCCCAGGAAGCCTGGCCCCGCGGGCCCTGCTCCGGAGACCATGCCCCCTGAGCCCGGGGGCACGGAGGACTGCATGGGGCCCGTGGTTCGGGGAAGCACGGCTGGGTGCTGCTCCTGGGAGAACAGGACGAGAAGGGAAGAGAAGAGAGGAAAGAAGTGAAGGTGGTGACTTCACACCTGAAGGAAAGCGCAGGGGGATGGGGCATGGGGTATTCCCTCCCTACGGGACCCCCAGGGGCACACATTACATTTCCATAAAGAGAACACAGCGGTCCTCCGAGCTCTTAACACAGAGGGGCTGCAGAAGCTATAGGGGGCCGGTAATGGCTCTGCGCAATCTGAGGCCAGGTCCAGTCTGTTTCTGATGTTGTTGTTGTTTAGTCACNCGGAATCTCCTAACATCTTTAAAAACGGAATTGAGTCTCAGGTGTCTGAGATAATTTAAATGCTGGGGGTTGAACTGGGTACCTAGATTCAATAATTATGTCAGTCAGTCAAAGGATGTCAGCTTTTAAGGACCAGTGCTTAAGGAACAGGAGGTAGGGAACTCCTCATTCAGAGCCCAGGCAACTCCTCCGAGGCTGTGCTCAGAGGTGAAGCGACAACCCAACGGTGTAGACCTTTGGGAACAAACAACTGATGGGAAAAGGAGCTGTGTGGCCATAAGACGTAGTTTCCTGATGCTTCCTTTCCTGTTCATTCTACCAAGCACACCTCATAATGGCAAAGTATTATCTGATCATTCCGCAGAAAGATTCCCTTTAATTCATTCAAGTTTCAAGTAATTAATTTGAGCAAAGAGAAGCTGCTGTCTGAAGTATACAAATTACATGAATACATGGATAAGGACATACACAGTCATTTTGTGAGGGACAGTTATGAGACTGAGATCATGAGAGACAAATGTGAATAAATCTACATCAAAATTTTTTCAGGCAGTTAGACTGGATTTTTAAGAAAGATTGTAAGATAGATTGATTGTAAAAGACAGACTGTAAAATCTATGAAATCAGTTTCTACTGGTTATTAGTCTCAGTTATACGTGGTGAAGGAAATTAAGGTTATAAAGATGTAGATACAAAAGTGTCTTAAATGGATGTTTAGAAGTTATCAAATTTTATATATTATTTCTATTTGCCATGGTATTTCCATCAGTATTAATGCATTCCTTCATTAACGCATTCAACAAGCCTGCTTTGTGAACAACATGAATTTTATCTGCCTCTTTTGAGCCATCCTAAATGAAAAACATGCAGTCAAACTGGATTTTAATATTTGTCCTCTTTTCACTTTTCTTCCTCTTCAGTGTCAATACACTCAACCCTGAGGGGAGTTTCCTCTCAAAACATAGAATGGTGTTGGATCTTCTTCCCTCCCTCCAGTACCCAAACAAAACATAACAAGCAACAAAAAAACAAACAAAAACCCACCACTCCTCTCACCCAGGTAACAACAGCTCCAGAAGCTAAACTAACTAACAATAGAGTTGCCATATGATCAAGCCATCCCACTCCTGGACATATACCCAGATAAAACTGTAGTTTGAGAAGATCCATGCAACCCTGTGATCACAGCAGCACTATTCACAATAACCAAGATGTGGAAACAACCTAAATCTAAACAACTTAAATTGACAGATGCATGGATAAAGATGTGGTACACATATATGCAATAGAATACTGCTCAGTGACAAAAAGGACTGAAATATTGCCCCTGTGGCAGCATGGATGGACCTAGCGATTATCATACTAAGTAAGTCAGGCAGAGAAGGACAAGTACCATGTGTTATCACTTATATGTAGAATCTGAAATATGACATAGATAAATACATTTATGAAACAAAAACAGATTTACAGATACAGAGAACAGGCTTTTGGTTGCCGAGGGGAGAGTGGCTGAGGAGGGAGGGACTGGGCGTCTGGGATTAGCAGATGCAAACTATTATATATAGGATGGATAAACATATATATGGATAAAGTCCTACTGTATAGCACAGGGAACTATATATAATACCCTGTGACAGACCATAATGGAAAAGAATATGAAAAGAATGTGTGTATATATATATATACCAAAGTAACTTTACTGTACAGCAGAAATGAAACACAACAATGTAAATCAACTATATTTTTATAAAATTAAAAAAAAATATTTTTAAAAAAGCTCTGGTTAGTGTGGTGGCCCAGGCCACACAGTTAGTAAATGGAAGAATCAGCATTCACAGAACTGAAATACTGATTCTGAGACTACATTCAGTATTCTTTCCATAAGCACAGGTTTTTTTCTGGACTATGGGTACATGGTGCCAAGAGTGAACCTAAGAATTGCTTGTAAACTAAATATACAGTATCTGTCCCACAAATACACTGTGTTCTAGTTTTCAAATGTAAGTGTGATGTCGCTGAAGTTAAAACTCATTGTCCTTGTGTATTTTCTCTGTACATAGACAATGAAAAGGTAGAGAGTTATGAAATATTTATGTTAATAAAAATACTGCATATTCAATAATGCCTAGAACTTTATGCTACCAAAAAGTTTACTTTAAGACTAATCCCTGCAGAGGTCAAGATATTTCACTCTTCTTTTCCCCCTAAACTTGCTGCCTGTTTTCCAAACCCTTTCTTCCAGTGGGATAAAGCTGTTTCTTGCCACCTTTGGAGACAAATGGCCAACTGACTTAACACTTTAACAAAGGAATTCACACAACAGACAGTTAACCAATCAGCGAAAATACAGATACACAGCTTTTTTTTTTTCTGTGTATTTCAGCATATTTGAAACCTCCAGTTTTGATAAGGAGGAGACAGTGGGAAAAGAAAATGAGACCCAAGGGGAGATCAAGTTTTCTTCAGCTTGGTTTTATGAGAGGTCTGGTGTGGGCTGGCCCCGTTTATCTTTGTGCACTCTGAGATATTCTTGTCCTATGAGATCAGCCCACAAGTACCTGGTGAGCTTGCCCAGAAGTGGTAAGTAGTGATAAGTTGCTTTCCCAGCCTTCTCTCCACCCAGAAAGAAAGGGAGAAGCAAATAAGGTGAGGATGTAGATTCATCTCAGCACTTCTTGTCCCTGTCTTCCTGGACCAAAAATAAATATAGGTATCACCCACATTTCAAAAGCTCACTTTATGCCACTTAGCTTTTACAGAAGACCTACACTGGTACCTGGTTTTGCTAACCAGGAGACATCTGAAGAAGATTTTAGAGTTTATAGAAAAAGGTGAAAATCTAAAACACCATCAGAGTTTATTTTGCGGGGAGTGATTATAGAGACAGCAGGCACCCCTAGCTGCGAGAGGGGCACCGCCAAGCCCCTCCCCCAGGAACTACACGCAGCATCTCAGCGGCGAGTTGCCACAGCTTTGAACTCTGTGAGCATCTGTGTTTTATCTCTATTTATTCTGCACACTCTTGGCAAGATGTGTCCTAAGGTGTTTGCTTACTCACTGCAGGCCATTTCGGCTTAGGAAAGATTTCACAGCAACGCTCTACTTTCAGATGGGGCTGGGGGTGGCGCTGTACTTCAAAAGCACAGTGGGAAAAACCCTTCCCAAAGGGAAAGTTCGGTATTACCTCCCAGGATTAAGTATTTCCCCAAATGATTCCCTCTCAAAGATTTTGCCTTTAGGTTTCTCACTGAAGACCTGAAGACGGATTTCCCTGCAGTGACTCCAGTGGAACCCGGAGAGGCAGGAGGGCCATGTGCATTTTTAAAGGGCTCCCTTCCATAGGAAACGTCTGTGAGCCTAGGTTGACACACCTCTCCCAACCAGTTCTGCTGCGTTCAACAGTGGGTGAGTGACGCTAGGGCCCCAGCCTTAGGTGTGCATGCCAAGTGTGAAGCCACGCCAAGTGACTCCCTTACAAATTGAGCTGGCTGAGGCCATTAGCTGTTTCACTTGACATGGTGGCTTTTAACCTCCAGCCTAAGAGTTCTTAATGAGCGCGAGTCTGTCGAATTTCAGGATTTCAAGCCACAGCTCTTGTTTCTAAGGAGGACACACACTGTGTGTGCAATTAGAGAAAACCAGGCTGAGCTTTCGTCACCAGAAATGTAATGCCTTGAAGCCAAATGATGCAGTATTTTTAGTTTTAATTACTAGCTTGCTCTCCACTCCATCCCCTGCCCAACGACCTCCCTTGCCTTCCACCCAGAATCTTAATTCCATCTCTTCCTCTCAGAAATCCAATTGACTACATAGATCTTCATTACTTCCCAAAGCTCTCACTCCAGTAAAATACAGGAGGGGGGGGGGGCATCAAAACCAATGAATATATTTTACGTATCTTCTCCTCCAGGGAAAAAAATCTTAGCAATTTTCTATGGGCTGGAGAGAGAGGTAGGAGGTATAAAAAAACACCCTACCTCCCCCCTAAGAGGCCGTTTTCTACTTCAAAAAACAGCTGTGGTAAAAATATCTCTTAAGAGCAGCCAGCTGTTTATTTATAAATCTGTGCAGAGGGAAGCTTCATGTCTCTTACGTGTTTTCAAGAAATGCATCGTGTTCGGGTGAGAAGGGCTGGGGCTGCTGGCGGTGAACCAAAGGCTGCCGGCTCCTTGGAGGGGAGGCTGCGGGTGGTGATGGAGACTGGGGTGGGGGGCGCTCAGTGGAGAACTGTCTGGAGGATGCGGAGGGCTTCAGCCTTTTTTCAGGTGTTCTGGGCGGGGGGTGGGGTGGGGAACAAGGAACAGCTGCTGTTCCGCCTCTGCCCCAGCAGATGGCGGTGTCAGCCCGGCCCTCGCCGCCAGCCCGCCCGCTCCGCCCGCGCGGCGCGTCCCCCCGCCCCCAGCCTGCAGATGGCTTAATCATGACTCGCCTTTCTCCCCCACCGGACCCCCGCCCGGCGCGTCTGGGCTAACGCTGCGAGCGTGGAGCCAGGCAGTCAAGTGTTACTGCTACAGCAGGTAGCCTGGCAACTGAGAGCATAATACCGAGCAGATGGTGTTCGCGCGGCGTGATGGACATCACACACGACAGCCCGAGACAATCCAGGAATTCCCTGGTGACTCGAGGCCCTCTTTACACAAAACGAGCTCTCTCTCCATTGCCGTGTATCTCTGGGGTTATCTCCCCCCTCTAGCCGACTGACACTGAACTGGTTTCTTATTACCGACT